AAAAAAAAAAAAAAAAAAAAAAAAAAAAAAAAAAAAAAAAGATTACAACATATTCCATATTGTTCTACACTTACTTTCCTCATCCAGTTTCAGATCCTCGTTATTCTTTATTTTCGCAGCAATTTCCTTCTCATTGAAACCTTTGCTGGCCAAATATTTGACTCTGTATTCATCCCACGTCACATGACCTGTGGACAAAGCATGAATTGAGGATTTGGGTTTGTTCCTTAGTTTACGACACACTGTTGCAACATGGCCGCCACAGGCAACAAGCCTGAACGGGTTGAAAAAGGTCAGCATTCTTTGCATTATAAGTGAATGTGTGTGTCTCTCTCTCTCTCACCGTCACCGTCGGGGTCAACAGCATGGAAACTGTTCTTGTTCTCCACCATGGCCTCCTGATAGTGCTCCTCAGTCTTCTCCATTATCCAGCGCTGCATCTCCTTGGCGCTAACACTCTTGTCCTTGTTGAAATCAACTCTGCGAGGATAGAATAAAAATGGAAGAAAAGTTGCTAATTTAGCTTATTTAACATTTACAGTGATTAAACTACTACCATCTGTAATGAGCCATATCACCCGTTTGGCTCGTGTCCAATCGGGTGCTTTTGTTTAAACTGGCCAAGCACTAACACCTTTTTAACGAAGACATGTCTTTACCATTTAACATAAAATAAGGGAAGCAGGAGGAGGAGGAGGAGGGGGGGGGGCTGTGTGAAGTCATGGTGAAGGATAATATCAAAATATGGAGCGGCCCTTTTCCTTCGCCGTCATTCTCTGCTGTAACAATGGCAGCTTGCCTTGGAATGCTAAACTATGCAGAGACATATTGCATAACTTCAGTGCATTCTCACTTTCAATGCAGGTATTCTGTTGTATTGCCTCATGTGCGTTCTTAAGTGAAAGCTTGTTTTTCCTGATCTGGATTTTAAGAAACGGGATATGTAGTAATATTGGGGTTTCCACAATACTCACTCTCATTCTGTGTGTTTTGCAATACTTCAGCTTCTCAGTGGTAAGTGTAGTCATCACAGAATGTGAGTTATTTTTCTGAAGGTTTCCGCCTCTCTTTGCTAGTCTCTAGACACGGAGTTATAGCTGGTCAATCCTGAAGAACCTGATCCCTAATCAGCAGCTAGGCTCAAGCAACCAGTTCAACATTGCTGTAGCTCCTGACTTGAGATGTAAATAAAAGATGAGAGCATGTCTTACTTGGTGAAGATGTCAATCAGCTTCTTCCTGTTCCTCCTCGGCTCAGAGTCCTCCTCAAACTCCTCGATATCTTTCCCCAGGAAAACCTCCTGGTGGAAGTCCTTATTGAGGTGGCCGTCCAGCTCCATCTTCACCCCATTCAGGTGGTCCGCGGGGAGAATCTCGTTCTCGTCCTTGCTGGCTGCAGACTTATCTTTTGCGGTTGACATGTTGGCCGGCCGTGCGTGCACATCCATGGCGTTGAGCAGGATGTAGAAAAGCAGAGACGCTGCCAGGAGGTGTGTGCTCCACAGCTTCCTCAAAACAGCCATGATTGCCTATAAAACGGTAAAAGTAACATCAAGCGAAGTTAGCGAAGACAAAATTATTTTGATCATCAAGCACAACTTGAATTCCGAGAATGACACTTCCGCGAATGCATCACGTCCACTGAATATTCCAGTTCACGTACACAGTATTTGTTTATAGATCTGCGAGTGGAGGACTCATGGAGGTCAAACCAGCCAACAAATACCTAAAAAAAATATAATCAAGGAATACACTAATGTAGGCAGCCAACAGCAACGTAAATAGCATAAATACACACTAGCTATTGAAAGGCAACTAAGAAACATAAATAAATCACAGTTTAATAATTAACCTACAGACGTTAAAGCGTTATATCAACCTGAGATGATACGCAACACAAGTTACGATGATTTAGTGGTCAACCCGTAAACCTTCACGTTAATATTCACATTGTCCACTTAAATATTATTCACCAGCACGGAATCACAACATAATAAACAATTACAATAAAGTTATATAACGGGCCTTTAACGTAAATAACCGTTTGCTCGTGAATTTAGGCTCGTCACGTCATTTAAAATAGTTTTAAACCGTAGAACGCAGTTGACTGTGTTAGCTAAGTGGCTAACACAAGCAAGCTAATGTTAATAAATCATTATTAAAGTTAACGCTACGTGGTATACAAAGAGACGATGCGACCAACCTGTCAAGCACGATGACTTAAAAGCGAGACTGTGCGGTTAGTTCAAAAGACTTTGGATACTGAGAGATGACTGTGTGTTACCAGCTGTCTAATGTTAGCTTCACTTCCTAGTCAAACAGACCTGCAGTGGCTTCCAGTCAGTCAGCTGTCAGACTCCACTTCCTGTACACGTGGCCTCCCAAAACACCCCGACTCCAAAATGTGGGACGACTCTGTCTAACTCAACTGAAGCTCTGCAGGTCGGGCTGTAATAGTTATCTGTCTCTAATGTTCCAGTTAATTCACTTAAGCAGTTGGTCTGGTCACTGACTAGTTGCTAACGTTGCTATCAATTTTATTTTGTTATGCTAACCACATTTACAAGGATAACTTCCGGGCAGCGCTTTCAAAGTAAAATCTGTGCGTTGTCGAGAAGTTATAGTTTTGGAGAGTAGCTTCTACAGTTTCCAGGTGGTAACAGAAAAACAAAAACAAAAAAAATATATAAAAATATATAAAAATATTTACTTAAAAGTAAATAATGGATAAAATGGTGAAACTGCTAAAAACAAATGGAGAATTGTTTTAAATTATTAGATAAAAGTGATGGATAATAGTTCAAATAACAGGTAGCGCTAATCGATGTAAAAAATGGATACATAGTGGAATAGAATCAATGAATAAAAAGGTGAATTAGCTGAAAAGAAATAGATACATGTCATTGGCTAAAGTAGCAAAAATAGAATTTAATTTGTAATGGTTTAAAACAAACTAAGGTGCAAAAAAGACCCATGAAATATAAAAGCAAACATACGATAGTCGTAATGTTTGAAAAATATCCTAAACTGTTTTTTGTTTGTTTTATTGTCACACGCGCAATCTAGATTCCTCTCTTTTACTTTTAAGGCAAACCTACCACATGTTCCGTTTGCCCGTGATGAACTTGACGCGGTTGGCTGCTACCTGCTACGTCTTCAGACAGACTTACCAGTGGATACCGGAAGTGGGACGGCACCAGTATGAAGCCATACTGGAAAAGAACTGGTTAGGTGTTTGCACTGTAGGCTGCTGCCTCTGGGTGGCACTGTGTTAAAATGTAAAATGATCAAGTAGAGGCTAAAGCGTTCTAAACACATGCAAGTTGTGAAGTTAAAAGAATATGTTGCAGCTAACATGTTATTTGTTCTAATAAGACTATGGGAGGGCTGAATTCCTTTTCGACAATGAGCTGATTGTAGGAACATCCAGACCAATAATTTGTTCACGTCAGTCCTGTTATTAACTGAAACCTGCAAATAACAGTACTTGATATATAAGTACTTACTTCAAATCTTTTTTCTAATGGAGCCTTCAGAAAAGTGAGACTTCTCTCTGAACATTAAAACAGAATGAAACAAACATGTATGCACTGTTGTACATGGCACAGTCAGGGTACTTTGGCAGATTTTCAGGCAGCAGATTAAACAAGATAATGTCTTGAGGTCACAAAAAAAGCACATTTCTATTTCTTGCTTGGATGTAAACAAAGGGCTTTGGTAGAGTAGTCTAATATTGAGCCAAAACGACAAACACACTTAGAGAGATGCACAACTTGATACACATCACACACGCAGAACTCGTCTGCCAAAGAACCTCTTCAGCTTGAACACTTCATCTATGAGATAAAACAGAGCTGGATAAGCTAGTAAGGTTGCCAATAGTAGCAAGGGAGAGAAACAGAGAAAAACAGTGTGAGAGAGACAGGGAGAGGGGGGAGAAAGAGAAGCGGGAGGGAGAAAGGGTGATGATAAAACTTGACTGTGAGCCGTTCTGTGAGCTCAGTCAGAGCAAAGCAGCAACTGAGAAAGGGAGGGAGAAGGGAGACGGCAAAAAAGGGACCTACCACACAACAAATCACTGCTCTCTTACGTGAAAGTTGCATGTGGCCTTGGACTTGTTGACTTGTCGGGAGAGATAGCAGGGAGCACATGAGTTGTGTCAGACAGAAGCAGAAGAGCAAACCTGTAAAGGTTTTATGATATCAGTGAGGATAAAAGAAGACGACTAGGCAAAGATCAAAACTGGACTTCATCCACCTCCTCTTGGGCTTAGGTCACTCTGCATCCCTTGCGGGGGTGCGTGGTTTGCGGACAGACACATTGAACACTGAACTGCATCTTCTGATGAAAGCCCAACTTCTGTGGATCTTGCAGCTTTTCCAGCAACCACACAACTTTGCTGGAGACTGGATCCACTGCTCAGTGTGAGAAACAGCAGGAGAGAGAGAGAGAGAGAGAGAGAGAGAGCGGGGGGTGGGAAAGAGAATATTGCTATCCATCCCTAGCCCCCACAGCCCACCCTCAGCTTTGGACGCCCCTCCTCACTGCCTCTTCTTTTGCCCCCTGTACCCCCCACCCCCCCTCCCTCCCCTCTACACCTCACCCACCAACAGAGCAGAAAGCGTGAAAAATCTCACTAATGGGTTTATTTGCTGTCAGATCTGCGCCGATCTGTCATTCCCTTGGACCTTTCTGCTTGACACATTTCATAGTTGAGTAAGCCTCCTAGCTTTCTGGCTAGAGTTAACAGTGCCCCTGCAACGTTGTGCTGGCTGAGAGCTCATCAAGAGGGGAGCAACGGCGGCAGCAGTCAGTCTGACAGTCTCTTGGACAGGGAGTCCCTGAAGCTGCATTCCTCCAGTCTCCTTCCCCCTGTTGGGACTTTGTGTCTGTGAGCCTTGTGGGCATCCTCAGTTTCTGTCTAATCATTCACGGCTGAGTCCTCCACAGAAGATCCAGGCTGTTTCTGCAGGGACTCTGGTGCTGAATTGAAAACTAGTGTGAAGATGTGGTGTGGGGCTGGGCCTCTGGCCGTGGTGGCTGCAGTGTTTTGGACTCAATGTGTCCTCCTGGATGGGGTGGACGCCAAGAAGGAGAGAAAGAAGCCAAAGGAGGCCAACCCACAACACACAGAGACCTACAATGCTACTTTTTCCAACAGTGAAGAGGTCAGCGAAAGCGTCAAGGTAAAACTCTCTAAATGTAAAAATGAAATGTCAAAGTGACTTTTTTGATATTTTAACTTGTTATACATGAGCTATTTCCTTATGATAATGCATCAAAGTTTGAAATCAATCTGCAGATATGTGCAGATTTCTTGTCAGTACAGGCAATATGCAAGGAAAATAAATTGTGGCAAAGGTAAAAGCTAGGGCGAGACAGGTGTGCCCTGTAGGTCAAGCTTCAGACAGTGAGACGGACCAAAATGTGTGAAACACTAAATGGATGACTTCCGGAGGTATGCCAGGAATGTGGACATCCGAAGGCTGATCAATGCATCAATTAGTGCACGCTGCGGGTGTCTGCCACCAATTTCCCAGCCTTTGTGAACTAATCAGGATGTGTTAAGTTTTCATGTATCAGGCAGAACGAGACAAGATAAGATGCAATAAGGTGAGATAAGATCATTTAAATGCCGTTGCTGCAGCAGGAAATTGCTTTGGAATTGCTGTTAGCCAAAGAGAATTTTACACAAGGAAAAAAATCATCTGTAACTGAAGACCAATGTTGTTTACATCAGAACCGTATATACAGCAAAACTGCGTAACAGTGGTACAATTCAATTTTCAGGAGCAACCGTTGGCCCTTGACTCTGTTATTTATTGGTTTATTGCTGGTGTTGCATATTTGCGAGAGTTTCCAACAGGCTATTTGTTTTGCTTTCAGCCCACCCATTACGTTGGCATTCTCGTTTAACTCTCACTGCCCCATATACCAGTCTTCAGCTCCTACCAGCCGCAAGTCTCTGGAATCCTAACCGTAACCTTCACCGCCTCCCCCCTTGAAACCAAGCAGTGAGGTCTCCTTTGTATCTTTAAGAACACATTGTAGGTGGTTGTGGCCTGGTGATGTTTATTTGACTTGGTTTGCCCTGTAAAAGCAGAGGCTATGAAGGATGACCTTGTGTCAACCCACAAGCCTGCTGAAGATTGCACCCCACTGGGGTTTCACTCCTCTGTCCCGTCCCACAGGGAGACGGGTGTCTTTACAAACACTATTTCCCCTGAGGTCCCTAACAGGCCCGCTGCCATGATGTAACTCCTGGGAAAGTTAGGTGGACAAATATTTAAAGACCTTTTTGGAGTGTTGTTCCCAGCCCATTGATTCTGTCATTCACAGGCCTAGTCTGACTCCGCTGTGTCTGGGACATCCGATAGGGGCGGTGCGGCCCCAAAATCTGGGGCAGCATGCCGTGTAAGCCCCTCACAAAGCCCCATCGAAAGGGTCCTGAAAGAGAACACCTCGGTGAGGATTAGCCCTCTGTGCCTCCCTCTCTAACATTCTTTTCATCTCATCTCCCACAATCAGAGGGTAATGACATAATCACTCTTAAGACGCAGTGTTATGCCAGATAGTGTCTTTGCCAAACATTGTCACCTCTGATGAGAACCTGAGCGTCAGGCTTGACATCTGTGGAAGTGGTTGTATTCAAAGTCACATTTGTTGTTGCCACCCAAACCAGGTTTCTGTTCAAGAAAAAGAAGAAGAAGAAAAAGGGTACCACACACCATGAAAAGCGGTAAACTTACTTTCCTTGCGTAGTTTGTAAGTTTATCCTATTACACATCTGTTAGCTCCCAGAGAAAACAACACGTCCATTGGAGCTGTCTTGGCAAGGAATCTGTGTTCTCAAACAAGCCAAACATTTACACTCCACATTTACATGTTTTCCCTTGTGCCCTGTGGAAACATTGCAAATAGTTCTTATGATGGCATTTGCTTTCTATCTGACCATTCCCGTGTGTGGGCTGCTGGCAGCGTGCGGTCGTACACTGCATTCCTCAGGAGATTTTCCATTTGAAAGTGATCACAATAGTGAGGTGTGGAGTTGTGCTGTGAGTGGAATTTTTTTAATGAGATGATAAGTGAAGTACATTTCAAACAACCGTGATCTATGTGAACCATCACGCTTGTACAGTTTTAGAGCAATATGTCAAAGGTGCATGTATGTAAGCCCCGTTGCTCTCCTCTCCAAAGATGAGAGGGATCTGTCTTTGTTGAGAACAGTGAGGGATCTGTGATGGCTGTAATTGAGGGAGTCAAGTCAAACATCACGCCTGGCGTGTTGAGTAATGGCTGGGTTTAGCCCGAGGCGAGGGTTTTTGTTTCCTCTCTCTCATCCCCAGTGATGATTAATGCAGCAGTGTGTGGGACCTTTTGGATCAACCTACACATACGAGACAAGACCAGGTCCCACAGGAAACTCACACCTCTCATACGCTACCTATAGCCTTTGCTGTAAGATCGTGAACTCTCCTTTAACATGTTGGACTAAAAAGGTCATTCAACATTCAAATTACCTAGTGAAGTCACCTGAGAGAGAGAGGGAAAAATAAACAAATGATCAACTTTTTGTCATCTGAAATAAGCCACAGTGTTATATTCTCACCATACTGACATAGAGCGACTTTTATTTGGATTTTGTTTCATTTATAATAGCTTCAGATTGAAGCCAGATTCATAGAAATCCTTCTAATCTTGCCTGATTCTTATCACGTGCTGGTCGTGTTTCTGAAACATGATTTCAGAACTATTGCTACACTTAACAGTACATTGGTCAACTATGGCTTCAAGTAAAACAACAACAACTAATAGAGCCAACTACATCAGAGCTACAAAGGAGGTTGGTGTTTCAGATTACCCTGCAAATGCATAAGATGGACATTACAATGGGCAGTTGTATAAAGAAAATCACAATTATGCTGCATAAGAGAGATTAAATGTCAAATATTTAGCTTTAACCATTTCCCTGTACTATTAAACAAGTAGTTTGACATTTTGGGAAATACACTTACCTGGTTTCTTGCAGAGAACAAGTGATACAACTTTCTTATCTGTGCATGATATGAAGCTATTTGGGAGATGCTTGGCTTAGCATAAACACTGGAAAATGGGAAACTGCTAACCTAGCTCTGTCAAAGGGTAACAGAGTGTTGTGTTATTTTTACACTTTGTTTTTGTACGGAGCTTAAGTGGTTCTGGTAGACACATTTTGTGACCTTCTGACACCAGGCTAGCTGTTTGTTTTCAGTTTTGATGCTATGCTGAGCTAAATGTCTGCTGCTAGCTAGCTTCATATCTACCATACAAACATGAGTGTGGTACTGATCTTCTCATGAAATTGTCAAGAAGGCGAATAATTAAATTTCCCAAAATGTTGAACTATTCCTCCCTATATAAATGTCCTAGTCGTTTGGCATCTGTCATATGTTCTTGTTAAAATGCGCATGTACAACAGTGTTTCAGTTAACCTGCTTGTGTCATCACCTATTATGTTTCTCCAACTACTTGTAAGATGTAACGTAACACTACAGAGGGCAAATTGGTTGCATAATAAAAGTAATAAAAGAAAAAAATGCACCATTTACAGTGTGCACTTATGTAACATAATGCAGAGCCACAAAGGAATCGTATAAAAGGAGGAGGATCTAATGATTTCTCACCTGAAATGTTCTGCCCACCCAGTCAAGCCACGGGGCAAACCTGTGTACCTGAGATGGATCTGGATCACTAGTGCTTTTAATCAGCTCATTTTACCTACCACAGGGAAAATGAGCACTCACTCCAGTTTCAAAGCTATAATTCGTACACAAAACAGATGTCACACAGCGTTCAAAGTCTTTCAGCTTATATTGTTTTTTTGTTTTTTATATCAAGAGGAAGCCAAGATTGTCTCAGGGTGATCTCTTCAGTATAAACACAAATTTATTCACTTTCGCTCACACATCATAAATGTATACACACCTCTGTTGGGACAACAGTGATGTAAAAATCAAGCCGTCTTATAAGAAGCATGTCAAACTATATTTTTGTATAGTAACTATATTTTATCTACACTTCCAAATAGTGTTCCTTCAGCATTTGTTGAACTAATAACAGCATGCTCATAGTGTGATAGAGTAATTGTGTTTTGCACACGGTGCTTGCCAATTGAGTAATAACACGGTGAGAATAGAACAGAGTCAACATTGCATGCCTAACTGTATGCCTAACTCTTAGGCGATAAATCCTCAAGGCAATCTGTTTCTGTGAAGTGCAGCGGTGGAGAACACGGGGGTGGATGCATGACGACTGGGATGCACGCAGGTAACCAGGATCCCCTCGTCCCACACAGCCTGGGGATCCCTGTCTCCCGAGGCGGGATCGGCCCAGCGTTGGGCCCGTCCACCCATGCATGGATGACTGCACAGGGAGCAGTACAGTGATGTGAAAACAAAGGATTAAAGAAGGCTCTCCATCATCCTGTCCAACTTTGAAAGCTGCCTGTGCAACAGTTTTTATCAGCAAAAAGTTTCATGTCGTCTAGAGTTTGCTAACAGGTAGAAAAACAGATAACACGTAAAAGAAAATAAGTTCAACTGTTCATGTGGAAGAATTCAGGAGCTGCCTGTGATGGAGTAGAGTTTCAGGATCTGGTTGCAGCTCCAGAGACATGTTTTAACAGTTGTGTTTGTGTTTTTGGTGGCATGCTGCCCCAGGGAAATATTTTCCATTTTATTGCTTCAAATAAATTCAACCTAATTTTCCCCAAACGACATGACAAACACACTTAGAGCTGTGCACATAAAAAGAAAAGCTAAAATATTCTTTTCATGGTAATAAAATCTCACAGGGCCTCCGTGAATGATCAACGAGTACAACTGATTCACTAATTGATCCAAGAAACTCCAAACTTGCTGTGATGTGTGTTAACAAAAAAAACCCTCTGCTCACTTTTAATGTGTGCCATGGGTAGACAATAAAACAGTGGAGAATAACCGATACTCAAAGACTGTAGTTTAGTCCAATTTTGAGGTTTTTGAATTTCTATTTACTGCTATTAATATAGTACTTCTTACTCACCTATGTTAATTTGACAGTTAGCCACTTTTAATTTAACATAAAATACATAATAAGCCTATAAAATAATATGCATTGTAAAAGTTAAAAAATGCGTAGTTGGGTCCCTTATCATGTTTCAAATGTCTATGAGCTGTTAGCAGTCATACCAAAGAGGTATTTCTCCTCTAAACTATTGTTATATCAAAGTGTTCTTGACCCAAAGAGTTAAAATCATACAACATTTCACAACAATGCAAAAATTAGAAGGAAGTCCAAAAATGCATCCACATTTGTGTTGCAGAGCTTTGTTTTTTCTTTCCCCCTACCCCGTTAATCATCTCATGACGCCTCAGATTTATCTTGTGACCCTTTGAAGGGACGAGACTCCCAGGTTGGGAGCCACTGGACTAAACCACCGAACGGTATACACAGAAGTTAAAGGAATAGCGGGGACATAGATACCACTCTTTTATGTGTCAGCCATTTCAACTTACATTGATAGTCTTTGGTAACTGCGGATAGCTACTGATAGCTACTGATAGCTAAAACAAAAGCGCTATCGTCTCTTCATTGTGGTTGCACAATGGTTGACGCACTCGCCGTAAATCAAGCCTTCATTTTGTACCCAGTGGCAGACAGAATTACATTACAAAACGAGGCAAATAGGGAACCAATCTGAATGCTAATGGTGTCATTATTTTATAGCCATTACATTGTGGCTTCAACATTGACTTCATAATAAGGTAAAGCAAAAATCTTGTCTGTTGCCACTTCAAGTACATTTTGCTGATAATACGTCTCTGTAATTCATGTCAAAGGATGAATTCCTGGCTTTTACTTGTAATGGAGTACCTTTACATTGTTATGTTGGTACTTCTTCTAAACCCTGGACACATTGCGTCCCATTCTAAAGATCTGAAGCCTCAGTAATGTGTCATGATTTGGAGCCCCATCAACGAGGATAAACACTGTCGAGAAGATTTAAAGTTTCTCACCTTTCGACAGAATACCTGACACATTCCCTCAGTCTGTGCTGGAAAGGCGTGCGCTCACACCCGCTGACAGACGAGGCCACTTTGAGGCACTCACACATCAGCGGTGATCAAAGCCAGAGCCCTGGTGTTCTTCATCAGCTCTCAGACTTGTACGTGGATCTGCTCCCCACTTTGTTCACCAGTTGTACATGCTGATACAGAGCTATGCGAGGGAATCCGTAGTTTACTTTACGCCACAGTCAATACAAGCGAGTGAGAGATTGAACGTTTCTGACAGATTGTTCTGTGTCATCAAGCGATACGGTTTTCAAGTCTGCATGTTTGGAATCTTTGATGTTCTCAGTTGCAACAGAGACTCACCTGCATACAATGAATCAGATTTTCTTTTGGCAAGTTGTGAGACATCCCAGCTGTCACTACTGTATATATGGTGTATGTTACTCTCTGACAGTTCACATGCTTAAAATAAATACACAATCTGTTTAATGGAAAGAGTTGAGCATACCTTAAGCTGATGATAAGATTATTTAAACAGTGATTTGCTGTTATTTTCTTAGCTCAGAAATGAAGGTAATAATTAACTCGGTCATAGCCTTTCTTCCTTGAGCACAGACAATCCTTGAGGGCAAGGTTTTAATGGTCTAATTACAATGGCATGTGTTAAAGGGGATAACAAGCTCAGAGTATGGCTGATTTCCTGGCAATGATATGCTGTCTTTTTTATTATGATGTAGGAGATATCTAAGATATGTAATTATAAGTCACATGTGTGTGCATACTTGCACTGTTTCATATCCCTGGAAAAGCAAGACAATGATCTATGACATTGATATAAACACAAGAACTAGAGCTTTGACTTCTCTTGGAATTGGTGCCCATTGGCTCTCATAATTGGGTGGGTGTCTTTTATATCATACTGAGCTGTCTGAGGTGATGATTCACAGTTTTACAATCAATCCCAGTGGAAATATACTAGTACAACCACAGCACCACCGCAGCCCCCAGTTGTCAACATGTTAATATTTGTTCAAGCTTACAGGACTGGTATGTCAAAGGAATATGTCAACATTTTGAAAAATGTCATGTTTGTTCGGAAGATACAAACAGCCAGCAGCAGGTTAGCTTAGCTTAGTACAAAGACTGGAAACAGGGGCAAGCAGCTAACCAGACTCTGTTCAAAGGTAAAGACCTACAAGTGCATCTAAAGCTCACTAATTAACATGTTCTGTCTTGTTTGTTTAATCCATAAAAAAACCAAAGTGTAAAAACAACGTTTTACTGGGGGTTATTGCCCGCTTTCATGTCATCTGACATCTCAACACGGTTGTTTGATTACAGAGCTTTGTTGTGTGAGCAGTAAAAATGAAGTGCATTAACAATTTAACTCTGTCATATTTGAGTTTACAGTGAACAATGGACTTTGAAGCACCTCCATGATATTAAGTGCTAAACCGGATATATCCAAGCTTTCCGAGTCATATTTATGGCTTGGATGTTGACATGAACTCCAGGAAGTAACTGCGCCTAGCCAAGAAATAGTCCCAATCATTACCCCTGTTAAACCACACAACACTTAATTTTTCGTACAGATTTGTCAAATAACATAGAGGTGCTGACAGGCAGATTTTCTTACCTCTTGACAGAGCCAGGCTAGCTGTGTCTCCAGCTGTGTCTCCCTGTTTTCGGTCTTTATTCTGAGCTAATAGCTGCTAGCTATATATTGAACAGACAAATATGAGGGTGGTATTGATCTTCTCATCTAAAACGATAGCAAAAGTGCTAGATATTTCCATCAGGATCTGTTGGAGACCAAAAACTGCCCAAAGAGAGTAAATATTGGACTAATATTCATCAGGCGGACACAAACACGACTTCAATGAATTATAATAGTGCTCTGTAACTGCTTGATAACAGGTTTTCCATACGGACTTGTTTCTGATGTGTCCAAGTTGCCAAAAAAATCAGTTAGTGCGTGTTTAGGTATTTCTCAAAATATCAAACTATTCCTATAAAGCTTTCAGAACTGGTATTTTAATGAATATGAAAAATTGACATGTCAGAGGAAAAAGCAGTTTATCGTGCAGGCCCCCAGTTTTATGGAAACAGTGTTGAGTAGTGTAAAAGTGATCTTGTCTTGACAAAATCAGTCTTGCTTTTATCTGTTTCCAAACCTCAAAATCACAACAAAAACACAGAACGATCCAATATGCAGCCGGCGCAACGCCTGTTAGGTTCTTTATTTTGACTGCTGTCAGAAAGAAAAAGTCACAGATAGAAAGAAAAGGAGGGAGAGGCTGCTGAAAATCCAAAATATCAAAAAAATCTACGGTAGAGTATATTGAAAAGACAAACAAGGAGTAACTTTGTTGTGGTTGAGCTAGAGGCAAGTCTTTAACAGTGAAGAAAGGGTCATGTTGGTTTTGTAGATAAGTGATCCGTGTCCCACTGCCAACCCTAAACAAATTCCATTTCAGGCAGCTCACCTCCATGGCAAGTCTTTATCTCCTCTTCTATCTCAACTCAAGACACTTGACATTTGTTGAAGGGTTACGCCAGTAAAATTCAAGCTGGAATTCTTTCAGCGTCACATTTTACTGAAAAGAAAACACGCCAGTTGTAGCACTGTGCATAAAAATGCTGCTTCCAGAGGTCTTCTTGGACTGTGTTTCTTATCTCCGTAACAGATCCCAGTCTCCTATACAGTCATTTGTTATAAATGAGTTATTGCAGATAAGATCGAGCGTTAGGAAACAGACTAACAATCTTAAATCATTACTCGCCGCTGTATACACTGTATATACATTTGTTATCTCGTTTATTCAATTTTCCATCATTACATTACCGTACTCAAACAAGCAGTATTAATAAAAGAAAATACTAGTATGTCTTTTGGTGATGGAGAAAGCGTTGGCCATTTTGACATGTTATAAATACAGTAATTGAGGTCTGCAATCCACAGAATCTACATCACATGTACACAGGGCAGACTCATTTTTCACCGGAGTGCTCATGGAAATTTTCATGTGCTGAAAAAAATCAAGGTTTGTTTACATTTGTCCAAGCACATTGGGCAAACGAGAACTGACGTGGCACCTGAGTGAATTATCTGGAATAAAAATAATAAGCATAAGGTGGAGCTTTCGGAGAAGAATAGTGGCTTAACTTAGAGGGCAATTAAATAAAAAGAGTGACAGAAAGAAGTTTCCCTGTGTGACCTTCCTATGTGTCTGGCACCACTTAATTGTATCTAAGGGCAAGATTTTCCAATGGTGGTTTTAAAGGAAGAAATAATAACTCGTTGGATTTAGTTTTGAAGGTACCAACCTTTACATCAGGCCTAATTTGGGCAACATTATCTAGAATTAAAATATATAATAAATCTGGTAAATGGCACATTTTTAAAGGCTGTAATTATTGAACAAGAACTGTGTGGTGGCTTGAACTGTGGCTTGAACTGCCACTGTGAATGGAATGTGCTTTCCTTGATATTTTGTATTCCGTATCTGCTAATACTCATATTGGCCTATTTTTTCATAATTTTTTTTTGTCTTTGTCTTGTTTCTGCTGCAGATTTCTGACAACCAGCGAGTGGATCCATTGGGATCATGGATGGACTTTGTCAAAAGACCGGTTGGCAACTTCCCTGGAAAGTGTCGCAAACGCAAACGACCCCTGGTAAACCCAATAGTTAGACTGTGTCTTGCAGTTTTTACAAATACTTGATTGATTATAAATTATACTGGTATCTTCTTTTGCACTTCAGTAATAGGTAAATAAGACAAAATTGCATAATGATTTTCAGATCAAGTTTGATGCATGACAATGTTTTGTTCATCTGTCCTCCACTAGCCGGGCCCACCTGGTCCCCCAGGTCCTCCTGGCCCCCAGGGACCTCCTGGCTCTCCTGGAGCTGAAGTGACCCAGGAAGTTCTTCTCCAGGACTTCAAAGACATGATTAAAGGTAGAAACATTTCAGCTCCTCTTTCCTTAATTTTGCAGAGAGGACCTACAGCTACAGTAAACATTTGGATTTGCACAATTGTATTTTTCATCACATTATCATGAATATATAGTTTGAAAATCAATGTTGACTCATTCTGTCAGAGGCTACAGAGAGGAGAGCTGCAGCATTGGACCGACAAACCAGCCCCAGCCAGCTACCTACGGCTCTCCTCACCCTGGAGGGGATGACCTCCTACCGGCGAATAGAGGAGGCTTTCCACTGCAAGCTCAAGGGACCTGTGGTGGTTGACAAGAAGACTCTGGTGGAGCTCCAGAACTTTCAGACAGTATGTTTATTTGAAACCAAGTAAATGTTTATGAACTGGTTCAGCCTCGCTCCCTCTGCATGGCTGAAAAAGAAAAGTTTTGGCTAATTCTCCCCTGCATGGTTACAGGCTTTGTTTCTGACCCATTTGCTTCTCTGTCTTAACTGTGTTTGAAAGAGCGAGTGTTTGGTAATCATCGTCTAGTTTGCATGTGGGGGAATTATGAGAGGATGATCCCCTCACTGGTAACTGGCAAGGCATGCACTGCCACTCTGAAACTCAGACTGGCTCTTTGGTCAAAAATATCTACTTTTTCAATTCTACACATCACTCTCTGTGCCGCGTACAAAAGGCACTCTGTCTCTGACTTGGAATAAAGTGTGGAGAGGACAAAAATAGACACTGTTTGAAACAGCATGCTGTAGTGGAAGAACTATGCCCTGTTGGGATGGGCTGACTAGGCTGGAAGAGGGAGGATTAAGCTCTGCCGAACTATTTAACATGCTAACACAGCACTATGTTAGAATAGCTGCGTTAACTACAGCTTTGGAAAGGATATTTTACATGTTTTTGCGGAGTCAGAAGTAAAGAGAAAGATATTGAAGGAGGCAGAAGATTAAAGTGAAAATGTGTTTTGGGCCCGGGTCACACCAGATAGTTGAACAGTAAAAATGTTCTGCACGTCTTGACAAAAATGTGTGGTTATATGCTTGGTGACATAGTGACATCTTGCAGGACTAGAAACAAAAATCACTGATTGAAATGAATCAATTCACATGAATTGACGTCTTAGTTTTGAATGCCGGTGGAACCAGGCCTTTAGGATTGTCGGAGCTGAAGTGCCCTTGAGCAATACACTGAATACCTGCCTACTGTTATGTAGCTGAGGGGTGTTAAAAAGGGGACCAAAGCATTATTGCGCTAAAATGTGAATTAATTTCTGTGCTTTCAGCCACCAGCTAAAGGAGCCTTCCTCAGAGGGTCAGGAATGGACCAGTCCACGGGGAGATTCACAGCTCCCATCACTGGGATCTACCAGTTCTCTGCTAATGTCCACATTGGTAAATCAGTCACTATCTTATATCTAATATTGCAGTACATATGGCAAGAAATTAAGACTCTAAAACAGTCCCAGAAAAGTCCTGACTGAACACTTAAAGCAAAAGTGTATAAATCGACTAAAACGTATGTCAACATCCTCACCAATCATTAATCATTAATTTATAAGATATGGAAATAAAGAAACGTCATTGTTCTTTAATTACAGTATAGAGCTAATAAGTCATAGTTTTGTAATTGTGATATGAAAAAGAATTGCTTACATACCTGTTTTTATTTATTTATTAAGAGAAAAGGCTTTTAGGATGAGGACTAACCAATGTGTCTGGCAAATGTAACACTAACTTGGGTAAGGTTGGCTGGCGTGTAAACTTCCCCAAATCCACAAAAGAGCAGAACAGGACCACTAACATTAGCCTAAGTCTCAAACTAATGCAGTAGTAAGGTTATTACTGCAGAAAGCAAGCTAATTAGCTGGATTTACCCTTACAGTTTACGTTAGAGCAGATAAACGCACAGTTTAATCCATTCCTTACACTTTTGCTCTTGAGTTTTTTGCCTTTCAAAAGGCTAATAAAATACACCACCATCTAAACTCTTTATAAAGTCTTATTTCAGCCTCATGTTCATAGCTTCAGGACGTGGTGAAATCCAAAGCTAGGCAAACTTGTTTTGTCTATTTACAGGGATTGGACAATCCCTGTTCAGGGGTAGGATTTTAGTCAGCGTCATTTCAAGGGGGATATATTTTTTGTGAGCAAAGCGTGAGTCAATATCTTCATATAATTGTGAACATTTTGGCTCCTTACAGACCACAATGAGGTGAAGAGGAGCAAGAGCCAGCTCAAGGCCAGGGACAATGTCCGGGTGCTGATCTGCATCGAATCACTCTGCCACAGATACACGTAGGTATTCTTTATTCCTCTGTACTCTTTGTTGTTGTTGTTATTACCATTGAGTACTCACATGCACACTAGCTTTTGAATCTTACTCTGGTTTCGATCTTATTCCAGATTTGATGTTTACATTGAACATGATAAACCTGGTAATTCATGAATATAATTGTATCAGGTTTCTGATCATCTGTGCGCATTTATGTCTCCTCAACATCTCATCTCTTTACTAACAGAGCATGTTCAGAAACCTGGATACGGTGTTGACATGCCACAGTATGCTGGTCTCTAGTAGAGTACTCCAGGTTGCATATCCAGGCTCTCAAATCTGGGAAAAGGCCTTAACCACGTCTCTGAAACCCGGGAAACTCCAAAAACCTGATCATAACATACTAGTGCGCATGTACACACCCTCATTGCTAAATATGCTGTAGAGCTCATCCCCTGAATCAAATGTAATCTACGTTGTTGTTTTGACAAATCGTTTACTCTCCCTGTGTAATAGTGATATTTTAATGCTGCCAACTTTTAAAACTGTCAACAGAATTTATGAGCTGTTAAAGATGTTGTCTGTTTCAGGCTGTGTGGAACCGGTTTGGCATTTCCTGTATAAAAGCAGAGCAGGTCTTCTAAAGGAAATGTCCTCTCACTTAGAGCCTTCGTTCCTGTCGCCTAACTAATCTTTATAGACTCACCTTTGACTCTTCAGACAGACAGTTATATTCAGCAGCATAGCAGTGAAATGCCCTTGTTTGGGATGCGGGAGACCGATAATGAAGTATCTGATAGTGTTTCTACATGGTAAAACATTACAAATCCAGATGGGGAAGGTTCTGAGTTCTTGCCAATATTTCAAAATTTCTATTTACATAAAGTCAGTGCAAACTGCAGAAATTAATTGCTCCCTAAAGTCTCCCCCGGCCTGCGCAGAGCTCCACAGCCTCCCTCATAGCTTGGTACAATGAGGGGAACGTATAAATAATATTATTATGATGGGTTACCAAACCCAAAAGAGTCCTTGGCTTTTTTAGCCAAAGCCCCAGCCAGTCTCGCCCTCCCACACATGAAAATGCAGAGAATGTGAAATGAGGTTCATTGTGATGGCAGTTGGAGTGAAGACAAACATGATTGATTTGCCATAGAAATGTAGCATTTTCCACTTAACAGGAACCAGTGCTCTCAGTGTGGTTAAAGCCTGCGGTGATGTTACAACCATCTGTACAGACTGATGGCACTGAGTTGTTAAAGAAAACTCTTGAAATTATGGGAAATAAGCTTATTCTCTTTCTAGCTAAGAGGAAAATAAAACAATATGGATACCACTTTCATGCTTTTATGCTTTGACTGAAGCTACCAACTGCACCTGGTTAGCTTAGCTTAGCATAAAGACTTGAAACAGGAGTAAACAGCTAGCATGGCTCTCTCCAAAGGTAACAAAAGGCAAATTGTTGTTTTTAAACAAACAACTTTCTAACCGGTACAGTAGCCAGGAGATGGTTAGCTTAGCATAAAGACTGGAAACAGGAGGAAGCAGCTAGGGTGGTAACAAAATCCCACAGGCTATATGATAAAGTGTTGTTTTTACATTTTGGTTTAGAGCTATAACATGTTAATTAGTGAGGTTAGGTGTTGGTATGCAGATTTAGACTGAGCCAGGATAGCTGTTTTCCCTTGTTTCCTGTCTTTGTGCTAATCTAACTAAGCTGGCTGCTGATGGTAGCTTCATATTCGTGAAGACATGACAGTGGTATCAATATTCTTCTCATATAACGCTCAGTAAGAAAGCACTTAAGCGTATTTCTCAAAACATCTAACAATATCTAACAGACATTTTGCACTTTAACAAGGATTTCAGATTTGCATATTCAACACAAATTGTTGAAAACACAGTATTTATTCAGAAATGTCCTTTTCAAATATGATTGCAGCTCACTGGAGATGATTGTTGGATTAGAAAGTAACAGCAAGATATTCACTGTCAGCGTGCAGGGGCTGCTGGAGCTACAGGTGAGCAGGACACCAAGAAACACACAAACATTAAATATCTGTTTTTGTGCAAATCTTTCCTGCATCAATGTTGTGTATTTTCTTCTGCAGGTCGGGCAGTACACCTCCATCTTTGTGGATAATGCAGCAGGCGCTTCCATCACAATACAGAACGGTTCCGATTTTATGGGTATGCTGCTTGGTGTATAGCCTCACTCATGAACAGGGCATCGTCCAAGCCATCCACTGCTGCAGTTTTTTTTTCTTCTTATTTGTCAATGGACTGCTTTTGAGCACCATCACACATCACCAATCCACAGGGGAGGTTGAAAGAAAGGAAATGAGGCTGACATGGACTTGACCGCGTGTCAGATGGTGAAGGGACGATGTGAAGAACTCAAGGACAGAGTTTGTTTTTCACAGTGCATCACTGACACTTCCCGGAGGAACTTGGATGCCTGTTGCTTCACCAGCAAAAAATAACCTGAAAATAAAGCAGTGAATATGTCTGATACAGTACATGTTTGAGTTTGTTGAAGACCTTTGCGGTAAACCAAAAATCAATGTTTTTAATGTTCTCTGGATGGACATTGGAAGATGCTAGGGGACAAGAGAAAGTACATTTGTGTGTTTGATGTAAACTGACAGGTTAATGTTTTCCATCTACATGATCTATTATGTACACACTCATTAACTATAGTTGTATTTTTATCATTAATTGAATCTCACATTTATATATGGTATATGGTACATAGACTGTGAGTACACTGGACAATGGAAACATGCTCAATCGACAGAATACAGCCTCACAAGATCTTGTCCCACTTATAAAATGACATGTTTTGTAACACAAATATTACTACATTTTTTAGCTATGCTAGCGGCGTGGCAATGTCAGACATTGGGTCCACCCTTTTAGTTAAGACCAAAGTCTCTCAACAACTAATTGATGGATTGCCAAGACATTTTCCACTAAAATGTAATGTCCAATGAGAATAAATGAGGTTGACATTTGTGATTTTGAGTGAAATATCACAACTATTGGATGGATTGGCTTGAAATGTGCTACACACATGCATGTCCCCCTCAGGAAGATATGCAACTGATGTTAGCATGCTAATACATTAAACTAAGATGGTAAACATTATACCTGCTTAACATCAGTATGTTAGCATTGCGCATTGTGAGCATATTAGCTTGCTGATGTAAGCATTTAAGTAACATTGTACCTATGTAGCATCTTAGAGCCGCTAGCATGGCTGTAGACTATTATGGCGAATTCACATTACAACAGAAGAACAAGGGTCTCGTGTTCCGTGTTGGTCAGCACAATAATTGCTACTCCGGGACTCCCCAGTAGTGCTGTACCAGGTTCCTAGCCAGACGTAAGCATTCAACACTTGGGGGGGGGATAAGATAATAGAATGCCTAAAAGTCCGTACATCATTTGGGGAAAAGCCCCAATAGCTGCCAAGGAGAAAAATCAGACAAAATGTATTTGGTCTTTCAGTTCAAACAGTGGTCCACAGCAATTGGCTGCGCCCACAACTTTCTGCGAACCGCAGACATCCATACAGAGCTTTCCCAACACACAACATTAATGGTGTGTGCGAAAGCTGTTTTTCCGCGATAATGTGAATACGCCTTTAGTCTTATTTAAATTTGTCAGATAAATTAAGATCCACCTTTTAACCAAGAGAGCTGAAAGAGAAAGTTTTTTTTACCCGTAAGATTATTTTTTCCTGTTTTGTGTTATCATTTATCATCTGTTTATTCTTTACTGTATTTTATTATTTTTTTGATAGATGTTTGTAATTTATAATAACTACTACACCAGTAACATTGGAAAGTATTGACATTTTATATGGTATTTATGTTTGAGTAAATGTATGAATCACTTGTTGATTGACACTCTCGTGGACTCTTGTGAAACCACAGATTATTGCAAGGATAGAATTATAACTTTTGCTACTTTTTTATTACCCATACTATGCTGTAATTTGAAATTAAACTTTTCTTAAAGTTGCCATTTTTGTCTTTGCACATATTAATGATTGATGCTTTTTGATGTAAACACTGTATAATAATTTACTCAGTAGAGGGAAATAATATCTGGATTGTATTGAATTGCTGTCAGAATTTCCTCTTCTTTTTTCAATATATCAGATTCATTTTATCGAAGCATCCTCAGGAGTTAAACAAAACGTAACATTTCTCTCTGGCATTTGAATTGCAAAATACCCAGAATACCTCAAATACCTTTGCAAAAACTGGCAGACTGCCAAATAAATTCAGGACTACCTGTAAAATATTACAACATCTTGAAATGGAACCCTCTGCATGTCTTTCAGGATCATGTGTCCAGGGAACCAAATCCAATGGCTTTTACCTTTCGTGCAGTTTCTAGTTTAATTAAAACTGAATAGCTGTTGTACATCACAACATACTGCAGTCCAGTAAATTAGACTTTATTGCTTGGAGATTATCAGAAAATCTGTAATATCACTATATTGTTTCTTGGGTGGTCTCACAAAGCACTGATAAGAAGGCCTTTATTGCACAAATGCTTGTCCAGCCAGTAAAATGAGCTTGTTAGCATCACTGCATGAATGCCTTATAATAGAGGCTTCTCATGGAAGCGTTGCTGAAATGCCAAGTGTCACATACTGTACCCAAGAACCAACCACAAGAACGTTGCACCCACGTGCTATTTCAGCCACCTACTGCAGCACACATTTCAGACAGAAATGTGCTGCTTGCTGAAAAGCCAAAATTTGGAAAACAAACAATCCTTTTTTCTCATTTTTAACTGAACTGCCAAACATCTTTAGTACCAGTTAATTTGTGTTTTTATTTCCCAACAGCTTAATTTTCACATAAACTACCAGTCAAGAGAAATGTTTTGAAAATGACAAATGAAAATAAAGATGTTGAAAATAGCTCAGCCAGAATTTATAGTGTACATTAGGTAAGTGCGATTGCTAAAGCATATTCACTTTCCCTTTTTTTTCATAAACTGTAGTCTTTCAACATGTTTAACAGTGCAGGGATGACAGACAATATATGTTTACATAATATTTGCCTTTTCATTGCTCAAGAAGCAGGAGAATGGCACACACTTGCGAGTTTTGATTGTCTTATGTTTTTTTCTTTTTTTTTTTCCAAAATGTGTTTAATGACAGCTATGTGAGCATGCCGTAACGCATTCGCTGCCCTGCAGTGGAACACGGAGCCTGCCAAAGTGGTTGCGAAACCACCCTGCGCCACAACTCTGACAGGAATTTCCCATTGCCCCATTATCAGCATCAGACAAGCTGAGTGATTGCAATTACATCTGCCGAAATGCTAAGAGCAACTGCCTTTTCTCTTTTCCTTCAGAAAAGTGAGGCATTATGAATGGCCCCATTGTGAATCTGTGAGGTTTCTGTCTGCCCAGTAAACCAACATAGTTGTGTAGCTTTAATGAGGCCTTAATTATGAGATTCCTCTACCTTAGTGACTGGCTCATTGAGTGACTGCTTTAAGCAAATCTCCGTGTGTACAGGCGTCCCTAAGACAAAGGGACACTAGAGATAAATGTGACACAATACCTTGTGCTTTGTTTACAAACTCAAAATTCATATAAAGCAGAGGAGTCAAGCCAATTCACTTCTCTTTATAATTAAAAGTGCTGCAGTTTACTCGAAACACTCAAGTCAAGCGTGTTTATAAGAGGTGACCATAGTTGGAACCTGATTACGAGGAGGATGTGACATTTTGGCAAGAAGCCAGCCACCGGCCTGGACCCCATGCATTCTGTCTTTCTTCTCTGTTTGTCAGCACTTCCAAACATGGCTACCTGTGGAGAGGAACAGACAGTGAGACTTTCACTTAGGGACACCAGGCTCCTGTATATTATGTTTTAGCATGCCTTGGATTTTTTCACAGTAGCCTAAGTTACTAAAAACAGCCGAGCAGACTGAGTCCTGCTGATACTGAGGCGGCCCTAAACAAACCTGTTGCTGTGATACCATCCCAAGTGGAGAAGAAGATGAAAGATGAATGCAAAGCAGTGGAGCTTATTACTTGCAGTTTTTTTCACACTAAAATGATATGTATTTGTGTATGTGGACACAACTTTATAATAAGTCACATTATATAAAGCCTTTATCAGCTGCAGTGGCCTTACTTATGTTAGATAAATCATTTACTAGTGTTTTACAGATCTGTTATAAGCCTCGTGCAGAGATGGTCATCCTGGATTTCACAAGACCTATCCCAACCTTAACCATTTAAGGTCAATGCCTATAACCTCAACCATCTCGCCAGAGTTTCACAAATGGAGCGTTACCATCTAGACATGACCAGCCATTGAAAGAAACGGATTTTGGGTTTTGGAAAATCCTAATCCAGCATAACACTTGCTTTGTCTTTTACAGCTAACTCTTTAAGCTATGATCAATATTTTTGTATTGGACAATGGATCACATAAGTGCGTGAAAGGTAACAGTTTTAGCGCTACTGAGCTTTACAACGTTTCTCAGGTCAACAAACTGAGCACTCCCTAGCACTAGAATGCAGACAGTCACAGTTAGCAACTACTCTGTTCGTGCTGGATGTGTACATAAACAACCGTCTAAGTTCCCCGTAGCAACTTAAAAAGTAAAAATATATCGGTGTGGGTGTTCAGAACTTAAATGCTGCCCCCAAGTGATCAATATTTACAAATGCATAGGCTACTTGATGGATAACACATACTTTCTACTAGAGTCAGATATTGAGATGGCAGTTAGTGCTACACTGCTAAACTAGGCTAGCTGATATCATTTTTAGCTGGATGAATTTAAATTTCAACACAAGGCCAGGACATTGTGAGCAAATTAGCTTTAGCTCAGGTACGCTGGTTACTTCATCTAGCTGGCCTTAGCTAGCTTCAAGTACAGTCACTGCGGTTTGAAATAAATTAAGTATTTTTTTCCAAACATTTCGTTTTTCTAAACTTTTTGTATGCAAAAAAGAATGTCAGATTCGGATCATAAATCAATTTTGACCAAAATGTCACTTTTAGTTTTTATAGGGCAGAACAGTAGGAATGATAGCTACAGCTAACTTACTCTTGGTGTGTGATTCACAGTATATTTTAATGCTAATACTTTTGTTTTTTTGCTTAAGTATACTATTGAATGCACTAACAGAGTATTTTTATCCTGTGGTATTACTTACTCACCACTGGTTCACACTGTATTTCATCGCTTAGCTGTCATCTCAATATGATTTGTCACTGTGCTGTAAATGGAAAGAGACAGATTTTAATCCACATTTATTGTTCCTGGGGTTTCGTTTTTTGCCTCTTTGTTGTTTGGCTCAGCAATTCAATTATTTCCCAGAAGAAGAAGATTGTGTCTTTAAACTGTGCCTGCAGGACGTTATTCTAATAAACCTGTGCAAATTGAGTGCCAGGGCCACTTTTCTGGATCCTATGTACAAACTGAATGTGTCATTTCTTCCTCTGAATAATCTTGTATTAATGGTG